GAGGAGGACTTGTTTGCCGACGTCGAAGGCGCGCTCGGCGCGATGGCGATCTGCCTGCTTCTTGAATCGCGCCTGTGCGCGCGAGAGCTGGGCGCGCAATAGCTCCGTGTGCATTACCCAGTCAATCTCGTCGAGCGGTGCATCCGCGGGTATGTTGGTGTTGACTGCTGGCATGCCACCGAGATTTAACTCCCTGTCGTATAGTGCCTTGAGCGATGAGCAGTTGAGTGAGGTGTGATGAGAGGAGTTGTACCAGAACTCCGCTGCGGTGAGCCACTGGCGCCATTGTTTGGGGGTGTTGTGGACGGAGCACCGCAAATACATCTCCAGACACTGGTTAACGCGCTCCGTCTGGCCGTCCGTCTGGGGGTGGAACACCGTGGAGTATAGGAGTTTGGTGCCCGCGGCATTGAGGATCTCCCGCCACATCGCGCTGGTGAACACCTTGTCGCGGTCCGAGACGATGGAGTGCGGCACGCCGTGGAGACGGATGACATTGTCCCAGAAGGCTCTAGCGACTTGGGCGGCATTGAAGGGGTGGCGGAGGGGGGCGAAGTGGGTGTACTTGGTGAGCCGGTCGACGACGACCATGATTGCGTCGTAGCCGTCTGACTTGGGTAGGCCTTCGATGAAGTCCATGGTGAGATCTTGCCATGGTTCTTGTGGAATTGGAAGCGGCTGCAACTTGCCGGTCGGGTGTGTTTGTTCGTGCTTCGCGTGCTGGCAAATGCTGCACTGTCTGACGAAATCTTCCACAGCACGCTTCAGTCCCATCCAGGCGAAGAGCTTGCGCACCCTGTGGTAGGTAGCAGTGGCGCCGGAGTGACCGCCTACCGCGCTGTGGTGCAGCACGGCGATAAGCTTCGTCTGGAGCGCAGTGTTGGCGCCGATCCACAACCGTCCCCACTACCGAATCACGCCCTGCTGAAGAGAGCGACCCTGATCGTCAGTGCCACACAGCGCAAGCTTGGCGAGCAGCTCCTGCGCATCAACGTCCGTCTCGTACGAGTTGGCCACCTCCTGAAGCCACTGTGGCTGGCACACCGAGAGCGCGTCGAGCGCCAGCAAGTGCCCCACGCGCGAGAGCGCGTCGGCCGCGCCATTGTCCATGCCCTTCTTGTAGTGGAACGTGAACTGGAGCCCCACCATCTTTGACATCGCCTTGCGCTGCAGGTTCGTGACGAGCTGTTGATCGCCCAAGGAACACAAACTCTTGTGGTCGGTGACGATTTCGAACGGGGCGCGCTGGAGGTAGGGACGCCACTTGTCGATCGCCATCATCACGGCGAGGAACTCCTTCTCGTACGCCGAGAGTTTCTGATTCCGCACGCCGAGCGCCTTGCTCAAGTACGCGATCGGGTGGTTGTCTTGCGTCAGGATGGCACCGATGCCAGTGTCGCACGCGTCGGTCTCGATGGCGAACGAGCGCTTGAAATCTGGCAATGTCAGAACTGGTGTGCTCACCATCGCCTTCTTCAGCATCTCGAAAGCAGTTTGCGCTTGATCATCCCAGAGAAATCCCTTCTTGGTGAGGAGGCACGTCAGGGGCTTGGCGATGATGCCGTAGTGTGGCACGAATTTACGGTAGTAGCCCGTGAGGCCGAGGAAGCCGCGGAGCTCACTGGGCGTCGTGGGCACGGGCCAGGCCTGCATTGCGCTGGTTTTGCTGGAGTCCGTGGCGACGCCGTTCTTGGAGATAACATGCCCAAGGTACTCAATCTCCTGTTGCGCGAACGAGCACTTGGAGGCCTTGGCGTAGAGCTGGTGCGCTCGGAGCAGATCCAGAACGGTGCACAAGTGGTCTTCGTGTTCCTGTAAATCAACACTGAAGACCAGAATATCATCGAGGAATATAATGATGAACTTGCGGACATAGCGACCAAAAACAGAGTTCATGAGACATTGGAAGGTGGTCGGCGCGTTGCAGAGACCGAACGGCATCACTCTGAAGTGGTAGTGTCCATGATGTGTTTTGAATGCCGTTTTCTCTTCGTCTTCTTCTCACATTCGTATCTGGTGGTAGCTTGCTCTCAGATCAATCTTGGAGAAATAAGCAGCTCCGCCCAACTCATCAAGTAGCTCGTCGACCACTGGCAATGGAAATTTGTTCTTCACCATAGCCGTGTTTAAGCGTCTGAAATCCACACAGAAACGCCAGGAGCCGTCCTTCTTCTTGACGAGTAACACATGTGCAGCGTAAGGGCTCAGGCTATGGGCAATCACTCCAGATTGCAGCATCTCTTGCACCTGCTTTTCGATCTCGTCTTTCTGTGCTGGCGAGTAGCGGTAGGGCCCGGTGTTAATCGGAGTTGTGCTGGGCTCCAGATTGATCGCATGATCGTACTGCCGTTTGGGAGGCAGTACTTTGGGTTCAGCGAACACGCCCGCATATTCAGATAGCAGCTTCTGAATGCTGGGTGGTGTGGGTGCAGGCTCGGGTTTGTCAGTTCACTCTACTGTAACCAGAGCTGCAGTCCAAATGTCATTGCAAACTTCCATGCGATGTAATTCGTAAGCATAAAGTTCTGCTATGGGAGGAAGATCAGAAGTTCGGACGCCTTGTAAGTGAACCTGTTTGCCTTCTGTCTCGAATGCTATGGTTTTCTCCTGCCAATGACAGTTCATGGGACTGTGCGCAGCCAGCCAGTCGATGCCCAACACTCCATCGTAAGCGCTGAGCGGCAACACTCGCATATCCGTGTGGAAAGTGTGATCGGGCACTTGCCATTGCAATCCTCGAACTAGTTGATTGCACAGCAATCGTTGGCCGTTGGCAACGCGTACTGAAACTGGCGACAAGCTCTCTGTCTGAACTTGTAGCCGTTTGAGGAAGGTCTCGCTGATGAAACTGTGAGTGCTGCCCGAATCCACCAAGAGTAACATGATCTGATCCCCCACTTGTGCTCGTAGGCAAATTGTAGATGGAGTTTCTTCACCCGACAATGCCTGATGCGATAGTGAGCAACACTCTGGCTCCTGTGCTGCTGGTGGATCCAGTAACTGAAGAGCGTGCACGGTGTCATCCGACAGAATTTCTCCGAAATCGCCCACTTCGATCATCAGGATTTGGCCAGTTCGTTTGCACTGGTGCTCCCTTGAATACTTGTCCCCACAGCAAAAACAGAGGCCATTTGCTCTTCTGAATTCGCGTAACTGGCTCTCCCTTGCATATTCGTCGCCTCCTTGCTTGGGTATGGCTGCTGGGCGAGCTGGAACGTGGGCTGCTGCTGCTGCAGGTGGTGGTGGCCGTCCGACAGGTGTGATGCGTGGGCGCTGGAAACGCTGCTTCTCCAGTTCTTCTTCCTGAATACGAGCGAACACTGCTGCTCTAGTGATACTGGTTGGTGCTTGCAAACGAACTCCCAGGCGCAGTTCATCTTTGAGGCCGATCAGAAACTGAGAGATGAAAAACTTGGAGCTCTGCGTTGGATCCAAGGCCAGCAAATGGTACATTGCGGTCTCGAATTGCTGGCGGTATTCCTGCACACTGCCTGTCTGTCGTAACTACACAAAGTGATGCATCTGCACTTCGAATTCCTCTGGTCCGAATTCCTCCTGTACCGCGGCTCTGAATGTTTGCCATGAGACGCCTGGATGTAGCTGTCGGTAGGCCTGGAGCCACATCGCGGCCATGCCGTCCATGTACAGCGCTGCGGTGGTGACCCAGAGGTGGTGAGGCACCCTGTACAGCTCGAAGTAAGTGGTGCAGCGATCCAGCCAGATGCGCGGGGCGTCGCCGTCGAATCAGGGGAAATCGTGCTTGGGCGGCTTGATGTAGTGGTCGCCGTGGCGGTCGAGCTCGGAGGAAGATGGTGACCGCGCAGTGAGAAGCGGCGGCCCGTGGTTGACGAGGCGGGCGAACGGAAGCTGTGCTGCACCGTCGGTGTAGAGGGGCAGCGGCGGAGGGCGCGTCGGTGGTGGTGGTGGCGGCGGCGGCGGCGGCGGTGGTGGTGGTGGGCGATGCGCTGAGGAGTCCCCTGTGCCCGTGACGCCCGATAGAGACGCGCCTTCGGAGACGGGCACCGCGGATCGGCGGCCGGCACAGCCTTGCGGGCCTCGTCCACGTCTGCTTGCGTGAGGTCGATCTGCTTGGAGAGGAGCTTGATCTCGGAGGAGACCTGGTCGTTGTAGGCGATCTGCGCCTGGTGACGCTCGTCGGCGGTCTTCTGATGCGCATCGAGGCGGCGGATGACGGACTCGAGCAAGCCCTGCAGCTTGTCCGTGGTCTCCGACATGGCGTCGAGGACGCGGCGTGTCTGTGCCGAGGGTTTGGATGGGGGTGTCGTGGTGCACTAGATCAGATCGAACCCCGGGCAGGATTTTGTGCGAGCTCGCCGGAGCGGCGCGCACCTGACCCAGTGGATGTTACCGATCGATCCGGGTAAACGGCGGTGGTGGGGAGAAAAATTTCTGACTCTGAATACCAGATTGTCACGCCCTTATCTGTGAGATTTGGGTGAGAGGGGGGGAACGGGAGGAGGAAGAGCGAGGCTGGTAGGTGAGAGCGAGAGGAGCAAGGAGGAGAGAGGAAATCACGCAATACTTTTCTTCATACCCTCTTCAGCCAATCCTTCGGATACAAGTAAGCCACAGTTGGCCACACACGCACGCCACACTTGGCTTCACACGCACGCTACACTTGGTCCACCAGCTGGAACGCTGACTTGGTGGTTGCAAGGCACTTGCATTGAATTAGTCCGCTGCAGGCTGATCTGCAGGCGTGATAGGAACCTGTCCCGTTTGCCCTGAGCTCGTGGGCTCTTGGCGCTAACCAAAAACCGAAATATGTTTGATTTGAGTTAACCACTGAAGGCCCAGCCCAATAATGACCCACGGCATGCCAATCCCACATCGCTTCATTGCTCTGCTCGCATCGCACAGTCCGCACCGCTTCCATCCATCTCCTTCCACAGCTAAAACCCTAACCCCTGAACCAGCCTCCGCCGCCGCACACCCCTTCCACCCACCCCGAGCCCCCGATACTCCGGCGGCCGCCCGACATGGGGAAGAGGCCGAGGTCGACACGGCCGCCTCCCGCGGCTGGCCTCCACAAGTCCAAGCGGGCCAGCGAGGCGGCGGCGGCGGCGATCTCCGACTCCGACGACGACGAGATCGACGCCTTCCACAAGCAGCGGGACGTCATCCCCCTCGACGTCGACGACTCGAGGGACTCGGAGGAGGATGCTTTGGTGATGCCTATCTACGACGTCGAGGGCGTTTCCGACGATGAGAGCGATGACAGCGAAGGAGGCGAGGACGGCGATGAAAGCGAAGATGGCAGCGAAGGAGGCGAGGACGGCGACGCGCACGCAGGTGATGTTGAGGTATGGGACAAGTCATATACTGCAAAAATCAAGAGAGCGCAGAGGGCAGCCAAACAGGCTGCCGGGGATGATGGCAGCGCGGAGGAGGATGAGGAACCGGAGGATGATCCAAAGAACTGGGGTACAGGGAAGAAAACATACTATGATGATCATGAGCAAGATGCTGATGATGTTGAGTTTGATGAGCTAAGGAGGCTGCAGGCAGAGAATAAGCTGTCAATGAAAGATTTCGGATTGGAAGATGATGAAAGTGATGAAGAGGATAATAAGCCCTCAAAGGCATCCGGCCATCAAGTGAAGCTTGCTGATGAGGCATCCCCTCTTGAAAGCTACACGAAGCTGAGGGAAGATTTTGCTGTCCTGTCAAAAGATGAGAAGATGGATGTAGTGTACAGCTCAGCTCCTGAACTGGTTGGATTACTGGCTGATTTGAATGATGCCCACGAACAGCTGAAGGCAATAGGGCCAGTCACCAATGAGTTGGCAGCTGGGCAAGGCAAGAATAAGGGTAAAATGCAGCCATTGGAGGTGAAGCGAGCTTGTCTGTTGGCTCATTGTCAATCCATTACCTTCTACCTCCTTATGAGAGCAGAGGGACTGTCTGTGCAGGATCATCCTGTAATTGCTCGGCTGGTAGAGACCAAGAACATGGTGCAAAAGCTGGCAAATATAAATCTTCCGAACCAAGATGGGGACACTGAAGACCATTTTATGCCTGATAGCAGCACCCTTGATGAGGTGAACAAGGCAGTCTCTCTAGAGAATGAGGGAAAATCTAGCAATTTACTAGATATGGACAAAGTAAAACAGGGTGCTGAAGTAGCCGAATTGACAAAGAATAAGCCTTCTAAGGGGCACCATGAAATTGCAAAAAGGAAGGGCAAGGATGAGCATATGGGCTTGCAAAGCATTGAAATGTTGAAAAGAAGAGCAATCCTTGAGGAGGGGTTGAAGCAAAAAGGGCTGTCTAAGTTGAAGCCAAAGTTGTCAAAAACCTTGGCAACCAATAGTAGGAAAAAACTGCAGACATTGGATGACTTTGATGATGAAGTGCAGAAAAATAGTCAAGTGGTCAAACCTACAAAGCTCCTGGTTAATGCAGCTGGCTCAGTTAGAAACAAGGTATGGGATATTTTCATGCAGGTTTCTTATTTTTGTTGGGTACCTTCATAGCTAGCTATTTTTAACTTGTGCAAAATCTAAATATCTTGTAATAATGTTCTGTGCCTATTTGGCCTAAGTGTTTTATGCATGTGGTGAAAATTCCAAGTTTGTAACTGCAAAACTACACCAACAAATATACATACTGTCACGTAGGACCAAAATTTAGATGCCATATGTTTCTTACTGTAAATTCTTGATAGTATTCAGCTGAATCATCCTGATTTCGAGCAAGTTGACATCTATTACATGTCTACTTTATTCTATGATTTTCAACATTCCACATTCCTTTTGTTGTTAGCATGTGTAATATTAGGCGAGTTTGTAATATATTTGTATTGATAGAAACCTTAAATGGACTGAAACTGCATCCTTGTACCCAGCTATGTTGCAGATGTTATCAGCCAGCATATACTATACATGATTTGAAACATCATTTTATCCAAAAATGTTTGTGAAATTCAAGGATTATTAGGTGATTTTGGAGCTGCTGTCATGGTTTACATATTGATCCTGACGTTTCTCGACATGTCTCGAGTTCAGTAGGACTTTGCTTATGCTGCAAAAGTGAATTTGAATTTTGATAATACTTTGACATGGCATTTTGTTGCTAGCTGTGAATACGAGAAGAAATACCATTATTGGTAAAACATAGCAATGATGAATTGTGCTACACTCAGGGACACTTGCTACACTTGCCTTCCAGCTTTAAAAACTCTGGCATCACATTGCCACATTCCTATCATATTTTGTTTTGATAATATGCACTAGCCAACAATGCTGGTCAATTGTTTTTTGTCAAAATGTTGTGTCATGCTTGAATCATTCTGCTCTGTTAGTGTTTGTAATCTTTCTATTATGCTGTTCCAGAATGTTAACAGAATGATATCTGCCATCAAGTGCATATAATTGTTTTTCTTAGGGACGCAAACTTCGTTACTCTTGTCTTACCAAAGATATTGTCTGAAATACTTGATGAATTTACGTTTGCTGATTATTGCTCATCTACAAAACTAAATCCACCCTTTGAACATGCACTTGTGCTTTGTGTATCGGTTGTTGCAATGGCTATAGCTATTCCTAACCCTTTTTCTCTTCTGACCATCATTTCAGTTTGTTTCTGGTGATGATGACATTCCAAAGCGAGATGAGATTGGTGAAAGACGCCGAAAGCATGAACTACGTGTTCTTGCTCGTATAGGAACCAATTCACGTGAAGATGATGAGTTGCCAGAAGATGGTGGTCATACTGAAGAGAAGCTCAGCCAATCCAGTGAGGAAGATGGTGATGATCATGAATCTTCAGGGTCTGAAGATGAATTCTACAAAGATATCAAGAGGCAGAGGACCGAAAAGCGCATGGGCAAAGAACAGAGCACCCCTGCTACTGAGCTGGAGGAAGAAAGCGAAGGAGATGGCAAGAGGAAGATTTCGCGGCAGATAGAGAAGAACCGAGGGCTGACACGCTCCAGAAACAAGCAACTCAAGAATCCACGTAAGAAATACAGGATCAAGAGTGATAAACATAGTAAAAGGAGGCAAGGTCAAGTCCGCAGCACGAAGAAGCCCTCTGGTCCCTACGGAGGTGAACTGTCTGGCATCAATGCAAACGTCAGCCGTAGTGTTAGGTTCAAGAGTTGATAGCATCGGCCTTATCGTGAATGTACGCAAATTTTGTTTGTTTGGTTTAGTTCGCGTCGGGCATGAAATTTTCGTTTGATGGTCATTTGTGTTCGTAGTAGTAAACAGTTTTGGTGGAAAGAAAGCAGCATGTTTGCATTGTTTAAGATTATCAAATTACAACCACTCTTGTGGTTGCTCTATCTGCCTTCAGATGTTGGATTGTGTTTGATGGGAATTAGAAGCAGAAATATGAAGAACCAGTTCCTATCATACTTTGATTTGCAAATGCTTCTATTACATAATGTTGCTGTGCTCGAAACAGTCAGGGCTCTTCTGATTCAAAGGGATTACATATGATTTTTGGAGCATTTGGATCCTTAGGAATTTTTCCTATGGCGGTCGTTTGATTTGCTGGACTGGAATCCTTAGGATTTTTTCATGGAATTCATTTGTACTCTATTTTGAAGGAAAATTTCCATCCACTCAAACCTCTTGGTAGATTTTTTTTTTGTACTAGCAAACATTCGTCCATTCATGTATTCGCTCTAGTAGTAAATCTTGTAATCCTATATAGGATACAAGTAATCCTGCGAATCAAAGAGGACCTTGAACTACATAATGTTCATTGTGGGGGCAAGGATTACATCATTGATAATTAATAAGTAGGAGAATAATTATATATGTCAACGTAACACAAAGAAAACCTGAAATCATCTTTGCCACTCAAGACTGACATGGAGGCATGGACATTGTCAATCTAGTCTGCTGGAATATTTGGAATCAGAGAAATGGGAAACATTTCAAAAATGAAGTGCCTGCAGTCAACACATGGAAATGCCTTCTCAAGCAATACCATATTGTCCTTGGTCACAGAGTCAAACATAAGAATGCAGACACCTTGGAGAGTTGGATTAACACTCGTCTAGGATGATTGTGTTGTAGTTTCGCCTAAACTCTGAACCTCATGTTTCCTAGAACAGGCATTGGATGATCTCATTTTATTTTCATTTCTTCGTCTTGTTTTTCTTTTTGTTCCTCCCCTGCATGTACATACTTACCCTTTTAATCTATGGAAAATAGCATAGAACAATTGTTCTACGGTCCTTGCCTCCTTGGCGTCGACCCTCCCCCCTTCCCCCACCCGAACCAGAAGCTGGTTGTTTGTTTACCCTATTGTTGGACAGCTGTAGGAGCTGTGGGTATTATGGAATGTCAATAAAGTCCATGAGTGCTGAGTACGACGTTATATGCATATTAAAGTGCAAGTTGGCTGTTTTGACTCGATAAAGCGAGAATTAGCAATTTGTTAATCATATATGAAATATTTTTCTAGAAATGTAATGATTGTAGAACGATATTGTCCGAAATATGCATATGAAACATAACATCCAAAATAAGCGCGAACCATCATAGTCTTACATATACTAAACATATCATCCAAAAAAAGTGGTAGGTCGGGAATCACCAAATTTTCAGCTTCAGGCTGGGTGTGCATGCTAGTTCATTTTCTGCGAGTTTATTTTGGATTGTGATTTTGTGAGGCCTAGAATCTGAGAATCACTAGCTGTAGCTCAGACAAAGGCCACCCAAGTGCTGTACACCTAAAAAAGTAAGTGTTGTAGATTCGTGTGGAGAAGCTCAAACAATTCAAAATGAGCTTGTCAAGTACTCCCTCCGTTCGGAATTACTTGTCGCAGAAATGGATGTATCTAGACGTATTTTAGTTCTAGATACATCCATTTCACAGACAAGTAATTCCGAACGGAGGGAGTACATTACAAAAGATCACTATTATAGTAAACATCATTGACAGCCTGATCCCTCAGTGACTTGATCTCTGGATAACCCCGGTCTAACGGCCTGAACTTGTGGCTCTAAACCTGCCATCTGCGATAAATTTGTTGTACCCGTACTATGATTGAATCATCGTCATGCAAAGAATTTCCTCCCATCCAAACTCTGCTCTTGATAGCACAAGTTATTAGTCATAAACTAGGGGCACATCAATCATGCATTAGTTTTCTAGGAGTTCCCTACTACTAATTTGCTACTTGGGCAGCTTGTTAATGACTGAAAATAAGCCTATCGCAGTTAGTGTTTTCAGGATTTTGTCATTGTACACATTGGCTGACTAGGATTCTAAGAATGCTGACAAAACACTTTCAGAAAAAGGGAACAATTCACAAGAGCTTGTCAAGTATACAGAACAAAAGATCACTATTAAAGTAAACATCATTGACAGCCCGATCCATCAGTGACCTGATCTCTGACAGCCCGAACTTGTGGCTCTAAACCCGCCATGTGCGATAAATAAATTTACTACATCCATACTATGATGAGTCATCGTCATGCGAAGAATTTCCTCCCATTAAAACTCTCCTCTTGACACCTCAGTAAATTAGTCATAAACTAGGAACCCATCAATCATACATTAGGTTTCTAAGAGTCCTAGTACTAATTTGCTAGTCAGGCACAACTTGTTGAAAGATAAGCCTATCACAATTATTGATACCAGGATTTTGTCATTGTACTCATTGGCTGGCCTGGATACTAAGAATCCTGACAAAAGAAAAACACTCTCAGAAAATTTAAGAAAAATGTTTCTTTCATGGGGACCTCACCCTAGCAGTCTGTTTGGAGCATACCTGGGCCTGGAGTGTCCAGTTGGCTTTCTTGAATGCTGGGCGTCTGACCTTTCAAGACGCAGAGAGATTCAGCTCAGGAGCTAGGTGCCCCTTGGCCACAGCAGAAGGCAAAAACCACTGGTGTGATGAATCTCTTTTTCTACCTCTTTTTAGTTCTACTTCTATCACCCACTGACAATATAGAATGATGCAGTTGGAAGACAAATCTGTGTACATGGACATGCTTGTAGGCCACCTGTACAAAGAGGTGGCCTTTCTGAATTTCACTTCCCATATTAAAAACATCAAAGACAATGATGCTACATTTGATCTTTAGTGCATTTTTTCCCAGTACGACTAGGATGTAGACAGGTACCATCATCTGGAGACTAGTGGAACATTAGTTCAACAGTTCATGCAAAAAATTGTGTTGTTGTAGCATATATCAGATCTACAGCTTCTCTCAGAAGTGAAGGATGGTAACAATGGCCACTTTATTTGTATTCGAAACCTTGGATTTAGGTCCAAATAAAACATAGAATTAACTCAACTCAAATACTAGGAACACTGTACATTATTGTAGAGCAAGCTTTTTGCAGCAATGCTTTCTTTTCTGTCTGGGGTGGGCACATATATTCGCGCCAAAAAAAGAACATACATATATTGCAAGTGGCTCAATTCGACGTTGAGCCAGCTCATGTACACAAGACCTGACAATTTCAACCATCCAATTCTTCCATGTGGCAGGCCTCAATGCTGAGTTGCTGACCAAAGAAATCATCTTTCTTCACAGCATCCCAGCAAACCATCTTCCTTCAAAGCCACTGAATTTTGTAATATGAAACTGCGCTTCCTACATCAGTGACACCCTTCCTTTCAACTTTGAACTCTGAAGTTCAGGCTACCTCTTTCCTACGGAAGATGTTCATCGCATCACTGTATAGGGCAACAGAGTTTGAGACAACAGCAAGCACGATCATGGTTACAGCCAAGATCTTGTCACGCTTGGTTGCGATTCCATAAGGATCCCTTGGAAAAAAACGAGTTTATGTGTTAATACAGGAGTGCTTAGCAAATAGGGAATACATAACCAATCAGAAGCATTATTTAGGTACCTTAATATGACCATGGCAGGAAAGATAAAACCAATCAAAACGGCAGCTGTGGCACCAGTAAACTGGAATGCATCCCAAATGCTTGGTATGAAGATGGCAGCAGTATAAATAACCACGAGGAGCGAGATGGTTATGATTGTAAATCTCTTATTGTCATAAGAAATGTGCCTCGACGTGGGAAAGAGTAGCCCATCCAAGTTGAGCCTAAGGGCAAAGAAGACGATGGGGAAGACAAGCATGACGTGCGCAGCATAGCTCACTCTGACTACGTCATTGAAGACAGAGCTGAAAGGAATGCCGAGATTTGAATCAAAGTTGGCGAGCACATCATCCAGTGTACCATCTCCAAAGAGAAGATAAGCAAAGAAACTTGTGGCAATGTAAACACTGGAGCAAAGGGCCAGTGATGTTCGCACAATTGGTTTAGTTTGTGTTTTATCCTCAAGCTCATTGTCAATGCTGTGAACTGTGGAATAATGAAAACATTCATTTAGAATCGACATAACCGAACAATGGCAAGAATAGCTGGGCACTGAAATTGCATACCATTATAGTGGCAGATATATGCAGTGACAAGGACAGGGACAGCCGTAAAAAGCTTCCAGACAGAACTAAGATCATCTATTTCTGGAAAAAGCTTGGGCATTGCTACAGTTCCATTGATGACTTTGATTATGGCAATCCCAGCAGTAATAACAACAAAAACCACAGCGAGAGCAACTGATAGGGCAGATGTGTAGCTCAGTGAATCTATAGGAAACAACAAGATTTAAGATTAATATCATGCAGCAACCATGGTGAAAAGTAGTTATTTCATAGTTTGCACAGATGAACACGTACCCAATCGTTTAAAGCTCACCAATGGAGCAAACACGAAAAGAGTTGTCACAAGAAGAACAATGGCGCGAGAATTCCACAAATGTGCTCCAAACCAGCCCTCCAATATGCCACGATGATGAATACCGCCTGACGATGTTCCAGATAATACATCACCTACCAAAAGTTCAAGAACCACTGTCAATCGCAGTTCATGCAAATAGAACTGTTCATTTTAATTATTAAGGTACAAGATGTTACTTGAAGATAAGAAGCTGACTTCTAACTAGCTCAAGTTCGAACTGGTCTCTTATGTTTTTACTAAATTGCTCAAAATGACAAATTATTTCTTCAGAGAGGGAGCTAGGGTTCCATTTGCCATTTGATAGTATAAAACTTGATAAAGTATTTATCAGGAGCTCATGGATGAGAATTGTCTTGAAAGTAATGTACCGAAGAAACC